AATCGCTTCGCTCATTCCGCCGGCCCTGGAGCCCTCTTTAGGGCCTCTTGGGGGCCTCTTGGGGGCCTCTTGGGGACCTCTTGGGAGTCTCTTGGGGGTCCTTGGCGGCGTCTTGGGGGCCCCCAGGGCCTCTTGGGGGGCTCTTGTGGGCCTCTTGGGGCAGGAGGGGAGGTAGTCGATTGCGGCTCCCCTCTCGGAGGCCACGATCCTCGTGAGGGGTGTCGAAAAATTGCCCGGTCCGCGGTCTCCTCCCGGGCATTGCCTGGGGTACTTTTCGCCTGGGGACCCCCAGGGGCCGCCCCGCGCGCGCGAACTAGAAATATTGTTAACCAGTTACCGGGGATCTTAGCACGCCTCTGGCCCGTTGGGCAGGCGAATTCGACTCTTGGTGGCCTCTTGCGACGTCTTGGGGGTCTCTTAGCGATCCTGGGGGGCTCTTCGGGGTCTTCGGTGCCTCGGGGGGGGGCCTCTTGGGGCCGCTTAGGATATTCTTGGGGGCCTCCTGGGGGCCTCTTGGGGGCCTCTTGGGGCCATCTGAGGGCCATCTTGTGACCTCTTGGGGCCTCCTGGGCGCTTCTTGGGGCCATCTTGGAGGAGATCGGTCAACGAAGGGGGGTTCCTTAATTAGGGTCCCCCCCAGGAGGCCAAAATGGGGCCAAAACCCTGGTAAAATCAATGATTGTGGCTTCCTCGCCGAGGCCGTGTTGGATGCTCTGACACCTCCCCGCCCCTCCCGTCCAGGTCCACGGGGAGGGGGTAGGGGGAGGGGTCAAGACCCCCTCCCCGCCCGCAAGCCGTCTCGTTCACTCCCACCCGCCCTCCCAACACATACGTAGCACCCGAGTCTAGCCCGAGCCTCAGCATATTCAGCAGTCGTCTTTGGATGGGCAGCTACTGGGGGCCAATCCGCCGCCGCCGCCGCCGCCGCCGCCGCCGCCGCCTCCGCCACCGTTGCTGCCGCCGCCCCCCGCTGCCAAACCGCCGCCGCCGCCGCAGCCGCTGCCGCCGCCGCCACCGCCGCCGCCGCCCGCCGCCGCAGCGCCGCCGCCGCCGCCGCCCCCGCCGCCGCCGCCGCCGCCGCCGCAGCCGCCGCAGCCGCCGCCACCGCCGCCGCCGCCGCCAAGTGTACTCCGTATTGTTTGTTGACTGGGATGGTGGTGGGGGGCGCATCGGGTTGACTGCGCATATTCAGACTTTAGAGGCAGAGTGTGTTTTGTATGGTGTTTTACAAGGGATGGGGGGGGGTGGCATGGACCCTGGTTGGCCCCCAGTCGCCTGGGGGAGGGGGGGTTTATTAATAGGGAACAGTGATAAACCCCTCCCCGAAGGAGAAGAGGGAGGGGTGGAAGAGGAAACGAGGGCTGGTGGGACTTGGAGGGTTGATTGCAATACCGTTGAAGAGTCTTTGGAATACAGTAGTCCTCCTCCCGTTTTTTCTCCTCCTCCTCCCCCTCCTCCTCCTCCTCCTCCTCCTCCTCCTCCTCCTCCTCCTCCTCTTCCTCCTCCTCCTCCTCCTCCTTTTGGTTTGGGATCGGGGACGGTGTGTTGCGGGGGAGTTCATACGTGAGGGCGTTTGGGGTGTTGATGGGTCTGGAGGCAACTACTCGAAGGATTGGAGGTTGCGTCGATGTGGATGGTCCTTCGTGCACCTCGGCCCCGATGGTAGGATAGACGCGGCTCGCTGTGGATCTTTGCCGTGTGCGCGTCAGTCGTCACCAAGGGCAGAGCTCTATGCTTTGATCGAGCTGCTGCGAGCTAGTGTCGGAGATGTTCGAGTTTATTGAGACTGCCTGTTAGTCGTGAAGGGTGCGAGGAAAAGCTTACGGGCCAAGAGAAAGTCTAGTATGCTGGACCTGTTGGCTGAATTTCACCTTGTGCTCTCCGAACGGAAGGGTTCTCTCCGACTGATCTGGACCAAAGGACACCCCACCCAAGCCCAGGCCGAAAACATGTTTTTGTCTGATGTAGAGGTGTATTTGAACAAAGCGGCTGACTGCATTGCTGATTGGGCTGCCGAGAAGGCCCAGTTGGACCAGAATCATGTTTCTCTTATAGTGCGGGCTGATGAGCTCGCCGTTCAAGTTTTAAAAAGGATCCTGGCCGTCCAGCGTGAAGTGTTGTTTTCCTCGGAGCGTGAGAGGAAGGGGCTCCGCGAGCCTCGGCGAACTCGTGGGGTCGCCTCCTCTCTGTCCGAGCGCGTTTGTCGTTTGAGAGATGAAAGCCACGATCCCTCTGTGCATAGGGCATGCATCAAGTGCAGGCAATGTGGGCTCAGCTATGGCCTGAAAGGCCAGCTTGCGAGTTTCTGGCCCACGGCGTGCAAGCCCCGTTGCATCATCCAGCAGCGCGTTCAGCTGCTTGTGCCGCGGGAGGTGAGGGGTGACTCTGGCGCTGACCCCACCCCTGATTGCTTGGGGCCGTCGGACTTGTGTGGGGGTGCCCAGGACCACCCGCTGGCCGACCGTTGTCACCCCTCCCACCGACTGCCGGTGCAGCGAGG